TGGTTTATAGACATTGGAATTAGCCGGAATCGACGAAGAATGACGACAGAGGCTTAAAATTCGACTAACATTTGAACGCACCTCCACGATAAACGACGACATATTATGACAAAAGGCCAATAGAGGTTTAATCGGGGGTCGACGTTGGTGATGACGACTTTTGGAAGGGGGAGAAGGGAGGGGAGTTGCAAGGGGGTTTTGTTTTGGATTTTTTACAATTTTTTTTTAATTTTTAAATAAATTTTTAAAATTATCATAACACAACACTTGTCACTTAACGGAGGTTAACATTCGGATACTTAAAAGTATAGCGTTTAAAACATTAAACACCTATATAAACAAAAAATTCTTTAAATAATAAAACGTTTTTCAATGCATAATTTTAACACTTATTTTTGTATTATGCCTTTTGAAATATCTTATTATTTAAATGACTTTGTAATCATTGTTAAACGTTTAAGTTCAAGTTATTTATTTTTCCGTCTTTGAGAACACAAGAAATTTAAGTAAATGAACAAATATAAGTTGATTTAGTACATATACTTTCGGGATGAGTATGAGGCCCTGTCGGATGAGTTTTGACTCTACTCGATCCAAATAAAATCAATAATTTTTATAAAAAAATTGAATTTTGTTCAAGTCTTTTTTGATGATAATGTTAAATTATTTTAAGGTGAAAAATCTTTCATTTAACCTAAAATGAGATAATAATGATATTATCCTTTATATATTTAGGGATAATTGTAATAATACTCACTTCTCTTTATATTATTTTCAATTGAATTCCTATTTTATCAATAAAAATGAAAATTATACATATTAATCGAGTGAGGTCAAATGCAACCTTCCTAAACACGAATCAAATGATAAGTGGAGGATATAATATTCAGATTGAGTTTGGGTGGGTAAAACTCCGACACATGGTAATTAGGGGTGGGAATAGGCTAGGCTTTAAAAGGCCTAAGCCTGGCATACGTTGAATATTTTAGGCATGAGCCTGACCTGTAGCCTATCACAAGCTTTTATTTTTGGCTCGGTCTGACCTTTTTAAAAGCTTGGCCTGACCTGATAGCCTTTTTAAAAACCTGCTTAATTTTTAATCTAACGTTAATTAAATAATAAATACAATTATTTTGCTCTGCATGAATGATTTTAACTTGCTTATATATGGATTTGATAATAAATAAGATTATTTTGTGAATAAAAATAAGTAATAAATAATAAATACAATCTAAGATTAATGAGTTAAAAGAATATGTAATGTAATGCAATACTATGAGCTGTAAAAAAGAGCCGAGAAAATCGCCTCAGTGACCAAAAATGCCTTATAATATACGATTTTAACCAACTTTTTTTTGATTTGCCAAAATGACCAACAAAATCGCAACGCGATATCAAAACCGCAACGCGATTTAGAAAAGCGCAACGTTGAAAAGAAGATCGCAACACGATCTTCCAAGAATCGCAATGCGATTCATAAAATCGCAACGCGATCTTCCAAGAATCGCAACGCGATTCAGAAAATCGCAACGCGATTAAGAAAATCGCAACGCGATTCCAAGAATCGCAACGCGATCTTCCAAGAATCGCAACGCGATTAAGAAAATGAGTAAATTCTTTCAAAAGTTGTTGCATTTGTTTCTTTCTTAAGAATTTTCTCTAAAAAGATAGTATCCGCGCGGACGTGTCGAAGACACGTATGACCACGACCACGACCACGACCACGACCACGACCCGACCCGACCCGACCCGAGACGAGACGGCGGCGGCGGCGGCGCGCGAGAGTCCCCCTTGTTCTCTTTCACTCAACAAGGAAATGGAAAATCCAAGCCTTAAATACACTTCCCAATAGTGTTTCCAATACTATGTGGGATTGAGCATTACTCAACACTTCAAAGAAAATATAGCAATTTTTGTAGTATTTTCCCACTTAATCCATATCTAAAAATATTAAAACATTTTATCAAGAGAATTAAAAGAGTTGTAGATATCTACATTTCAATTCAAACTTATACATATAGTTTTAATATGATATTAAAACATTTTATCATATTAAAACTATATGTATAAGTTTGAATTGAAATGTAGATATCTACAACTCTTTTAATTCTCTTGATAAAATGTTTTAATATTTTTAGATATGGATTAAGTGGGAAAATACTACAAAAATTGCTATATTTTCTTTGAAGTGTTGAGTAATGCTCAATCCCACATAGTATTGGAAACACTATTGGGAAGTGTATTTAAGGCTTGGATTTCCCATTTCCTTGTTGAGTGAAAGAGAACAAGGGGGACTCTCGCGCGCCGTCGCCGCCGCCGTCTCGTCTCGGGTCGGGTCATGGTCGTGGTCGTGGTCGTGGTCGTGGTCGTGGTCGTGGTCGTGGTCGTGGTCGTGGTCGTGGTCGTGGTCGTGGTCGTGGTCGTGGTCGTGGTCGTGGTAATACGTGTCTTCGACACGTCCGCGCGGATACTATCTTTTTAGAGAAAATTCTTAAGAAAGAAACAAATGCAACAACTTTTGAAAGAATTTACTCATTTTCTTAATCGCGTTGCGATTCTTGGAAGATCGCGTTGCGATTCTTGGAATCGCGTTGCGATTTTCTGAATCGCGTTGCGATTCTTGGAATCGCGTTGCGATTTTCTGAATCGCGTTGCGATTCTTGGAAGATCGCGTTGCGATTTTCTGAATCGCGTTGCGATTCTTGGAAGATCGCGTTGCGATTTTCTGAATCGCGTTGCGATTTTCTGAATCGCGTTGCGATTCTTGGAAGATCGCGTTGCGATTTTATGAATCGCATTGCGATTCTTGGAAGATCGTGTTGCGATCTTCTTTTCAACGTTGCGCTTTTCTAAATCGCGTTGCGGTTTTGATATCGCGTTGCGATTTTGTTGGTCATTTTGGCAAATCAAAAAAAAGTTGGTTAAAATCGTATATTATAAGGCATTTTTGGTCACTGAGGCGATTTTCTCAAATGTTTCTTTGGTATACTTTTATTTAAAAAGTGTTCTTTGTCTTAGAATTCCCAAATGTTTGGTGTTGGGACTTGGGAATAACGCATGCCTTTGCTTTGCTTTGCTTTGCTTTACTTTGTTGTTCCCCACACCACACCATGCCCGACAAACAACGACCATCCTTTGCCCATGCTTTGGCATCACCGAACGCATGAAGAAATCAATAAAATTTCTCAGCATTTTTCATTTTTCTAACACCGATTCAAAAAATATAAAAAAGGCCTCCGATTCGAACTAAAAAAACAAACGGTTGTTAGGGGATTCTCTCCTCATTTTTCTGAAGAAATCAATATAACAAAGCAATGAGCCAATGACACATATTGATACCAACAAAATAATATAAGTATATATATATATATATATATATATATATAGGCCAGACTATCAGATTTATAAGGCTTTTTAATAAGCATAAGTCTGACATATTTAATTTAATAGACTTTTAAAAAAGTCCAAACCTAGCCTTTTTATTAAATAGGTCAATCCAGACCAGACTTTATGTAGGTCAGGTCGTAAGCCCCTGTAGGCCGGCCTGACCTATTCCCACCCCTAATGGTAACCATGAGGGTGCGTTTGGTTCACGGAATGTAAGATTACCGGTGAGAATAAAAGATTACCAGAGAATATGATTACTGGGAATGCTGTATTTTGTGTTTGGTTTGTTTAGCAGGAATGTAAGATTACCATGTTTGGTTAAAGGAATAAAAGATTATTGGAATGTATATTTGACCAAATTGTCCTTATTATATATTTGTATAATATTACAAGTTGAAAAATATTTATATATTTTCTTTAAAAAATTTAAATTCATAAAATTCATATAATTTTTTTACAAAATTAAAAAATATAAAAAATATTTAATAAAAGGGAAAAATTTTATTTTAAACCCTGAACTTCATAATAAAATTTTAATTATAGATTTTTTTTGTAAATCTAAAATATTTTAAGGATAAATTTGTAATTTAACCTTCGTAGAATTTTTATTATTCAATGACAGAAGAATGATATTTTTGAAGAAAAAAATTTAAGGGCATTTTAGTCTAAAACGCCGGTAATATTACAATACCTAAAGGAAGGGAGGTAAAATATACCAAGAAATTTACTATTAATAATAAAATATTACCGAGAATGACATTCACGGCCAAACTAAATGAGAAATATAGATTCAATTACAAGAGGAATCCCACATTTTTCCCATTCAAACACTTTAGACTTTATGGTTTTCAAAACTTGAAATTTCAATTTTGAGTCGTATAATAAAAAGAGACAATATAACTAAATTACATAAAATTATCAAATTGGAAAATAGGAAGTACAGTAAATTACTAGTGAAAGTGATGCAAGAGCGTGGTTATCTCAGCGTGCACATGTGTCTTTCTTCAATCTCTGCGTGCAAAACACACAAATTAATCGATCAAAATATCCCCTTTCCCGTTTACAAAGTAACCCCAAAACCAAAACCCCCCTTAGGCCTGTCTCTCAGAGAGATTTCTCTTCGTTTCCTTATGTATATCTAGGGTTCTTCTTCTTCTCTGCTATACCCAATCTTAGGGTTTTTCCCTTTCACTTTGATTTTGTAAATATGGATCGATCCGATGGCAAACTTTACAACAATTTCTCCTCTCTATCTTCCCCAGGTTTCTTTCCTCAATTGCTTCCTTTTATATTTTGATTCCCAGTTACTTAATAGCTAGCTTTTTTATGACGTGAAATGATATTAAAATTTCCTGGGAAAAGTTTGTATCTTACTTCTTTTTGTCACCTATTGTATTTGCTTTATTACTTGTTTTACTTCAATTTTTTTCTTTTTTCTTTTTTGATATTTGTTTTCTGTTTCTTTCATTTGATAGTTCTTAATCTACTATGTTGGTCGATTAGCATCTGTGGTCCTGTTTAATTGCCAAATGAGTTGGTGGTTTTGCAGGTAATGCGGTTTTTGATGCATCTCAGTATGAATTTTTTTGTCAAAATGATACGGAAGAAGTGGAGCTGGGGGGCCTGGAAGGTGATGAAGAGAATGATCCTGTCTTTGCTTCCACTGAAGATGATGAATACCATTTTGATAAGGGAGAGGTGAGATTTCATTCCTTTGGTTAAGCACTGTGCGGCCAACCCCATGTTTCATTTGCATTGGATTTCTTTTCTTTAGCCTTAGGTGTTCCATAACTTAATATGTGTCGAGCTCACTCTTTGTCATGTACCTTTTGTTTCCAATTACGCACACTCCACAAGTTGTCTATAAAAGTTCTATTCCGTGGTCATTTTGGAAATTAACTTTTTATTAAGTAGATTATGTCTGTCAATTTGAAGTTCCAAACTGCTACTTATTTAAGGTAGCCATACAAAAAATAGGTTTCAAGGTTTTCTCACTTGACGTGTTCCTATTTTGTTGCCAAGTGAAATGATTTATCTGAAAATTAGTTACTCTCTATCCATTTGAACTCTCTTCCCAAAGTTTGATCAATTTGATGGCCATAAGATGCATGAAACATACAATTTTAGATATTTATTTTACAACTATGTGCCCGTGTAGAAGCTTTTGGACAGGGGTTGCACCTCCTCGTGTAGAAGCTTTTGTTTGGCAAGTTGCACATCAAAGATTAGCACTTAAAGAGGAGCTGTTGAAGAGAGGTGTCGTTGGGATTGATCATCCTTTATGTCCGATTTGTGGGAAGTGTGAGGAGTCAATTTCACATCTGTTTCTGCATTGTGAGGTGGTTTGGTTTATGTGATCCAGATTTTTGAGGGACTGGAACGTTTCATTTGTGGTTCCTAAGAATATGACGGATTTTTTTGATTTTGTGGGATGATTTAGTTACGAGATCTAATATTTGGAAATTCATTCCAAGGGCGGTGTTGTGGGCAGTTTGGAAATGCAGAAATGAGATTGTTTTTCAAAAAAAGGTGGATTATGCTATGCTATTCTTTCTTGCTAGATACAAAACTGCTACTTGGTTCGGGGTGAATTTTAAGGATGTTTATATTCCTTTCGATTCCCTAGTTGGGAATCTAAAACTGGTAGATTCGAATGGTAATCAGAAAAAAGGGTGTTCTACTCCTTCTAAGTGGGTACCTCCTCCACAAGGCTTCCTTAAACTCAATGTTGATGGAGCAATGGCTAAGGGTTGGGACAAAGGTGGAATAGGTGGTTTGATTAGAGATGACAGGGGTTTGTTACTGGGTTCATTCTCAGAAAATATTGGAGGTGGTCCTCCAATTCTTGCAGAACTAATGGTGATCAAAAGAGGTTTGACTCTCATCGACGAAGTAGGTTTCTCTCCAAGTCGGAGGATTATTTTGGAAGCGGACTCCACCACAGCTCTGAAGTGGATTAAACATCCTGACCTCTCTACCCCACTATTTCAGAACTTGGTTAGAGGTTTAGCGTCTAAGGTGGAAGGACAGGGCATCATTTCAAGACATATATTGAGAGCCGCCAATTGGGAAGCAGATGAGTTAGCAAAGGTTGGTCTTGGTTGATCAAGTGGTATTCTGTTGAGGTTTCTGTGTTCTTTTGTTTGTCCAGTTTTTTAGGTTCTGGTCTTACTGCTGCAGGTCGTTTTATGTTTTTAAGTTTTATGTCAAGCTGTCTATGACTAGGAATTGGTTGTACGTTATGTTTCAGGGTAATAAAATTCAGAGGTGCTCTTGTCTTCCTTCCGATGTCCTTCATGTTACTGATATAACATGAAGGATATGAAGGGGGTTTTAATGAGGCCTACCTTCTATCAAAAAAAAATTCATTTGAACTCTCTTCTGGGACTGTAAATGGCTCCTCTAATGGACCATGGTGCATTCTATTTGCATCGTTTGTTTGGAAAGTGTGGAAACGACATAATACGGATGCCTTTGATGGAACTTTCAGCACGACAGCATCCTTCCTCAATACGGCCATCACCTGGGCGAAATTATACTCCTTGCCATTGTTGAATTCTGCTATGAATGGTCAAAACAGTGCAGGTGATATCACTTCTTCTAACTCACAGATTCAATGGCAGCCACCTCCAATGAATTGGATTTGCCTGAACTTGGATGCTGCCGTTTCATTAGAATTGGGCCTTGGTTCGGCAGGGGGTTTATTCCGAGACCACCATGGTAATTTTCTTTTGGCTTACAACAAGAATCTCTGTTCGTCCTCTTTCCTTCATGCTGAACTTTGGGGTGTCTTTGAGGGCCTTAAGCTCTCATGGTCACATGGTTTCGAGCGAGTTGTGGCACAAACCGATAACATCAATGTTCATGCCTTGCTCTCCCCTCCATCGGCTGACAGTCCATTCTCCTTGATCCGATCAATTACGTCTATGGTTAATAAAGCTTGGTTTGTTGATTTTGTCTTAATTCCATGAGAAACAAACTCACCAGCTTAGTTCTTGGCTAAACTCTTGCTGAGGTCATGTTACTTCAAGTGATCGAATCTCCTCCAGCTACTCTCTTTCCGATTTTACATAGAGACATGTCCGGTCCTCCATATAGTCGAATAATACATTAATCTCCTGGCTTCAGTCTCATTTGTATTAAGAAAAAAAAATAGTTGCTTTAATTGTTGACAGAGCATGTGATTCCTATATTGAAATGGATCAAGTGCAACAGCTATATATTAGTTCAAACTTGTTGCATTTCATTCTTCTTGTAAGGAATTTATGCCATTTTTTTCTGTATTCATGCACATTGATTTTGTTTTTGCCTTGTTTCTACATTTTAGTTGTTGATATTGTTGCCCGTCCCTTCACCTCTATTCAATAATCCATGATGTGCTAAATTCAATTTGGTTTCAACTTTTTCTACTTTGGATTTTGAATTATGGGCAATTCAGCTCTAATTTTCGTGTTATTCTTTTGCAGGTTTTAGGTTTAGGTTCTCCATCTGATATGGATGATCTAGCTAGTACTTTTGCGAAGGTTGGTTATTTATCTATTGACAAATCTTTTTCATCGGATGAATTTCAGTAGTTAATGTTTCTAACTAACTGTTTGTAAGATTTGGCATGCTAGTTTCCTTCATTTCAGGTGGTCTTTATTTTATATCGACTAGGTTGTGTATTCTGTACTGAAAATTGTGTGATTGTGGCTTACCTTGCGGTTGAGAATGCCAATTGTGAGTAATTTTGGATCTCTGTCTCGATTTTCTTGTATAAGGAAATGGCCAATAGCTAACCCTAAATAAATTTAAAATTTATCAAATGAAATTTGTGATCTGGACTATTACCATTCATGGCACAAGGATTTAGACATAGGAAAAACTAAAAGTATTTTAATGTGTACTTTTTGTTGGGATTGATTTTGACATGTTAATTAAAAACTAAGCAATCAGACTATTATTAATCATAATCCAAAAACTTAGGCATTAAGAAAATGTAACAGAATATTCTTGGATGTGGTATATGACCTCAATATTGGGAAAGAAGCGTAGTTCATCCAACTTTTTGGGCTAAGCGTTAAAATTTAGAAATGGAGGAGTAAGATTGTTTTCTTGGATATATTACATTCTTATTTTGGGATATCAAAGGATGTCTTAGTTCAGTGCTTCAAATCAACCTAATTTCAGTGTTGCTCTTGAACTTAGTTTGCAAATTTGTCAATTAATAAACAAAATTGGCTGAAAAATGTGATTTTCTTTTCTATCTTGTTCAAATTGTTTTGGAAAACATCGATCTTGAATCATGCCCTAGTCCATCAACCACAACTTTTTTTTTGTTTGACCATATCATGGAAAATAAGGGGAGAGTAAATGTATTAGCAGGTAAGAAGGAAGTGAAACTAACTGAAAAATTAATCTGCTGTTGTTTGTTTTATGAAATAATTGTCAACAATCATGTTATAAGAATGTGAATCTAATTGAAAAATTAATCTGATGTCACTTGTTATATGAGATAATTGTCAACAACATTGTTGACTGTGATTATATTGATTGACTTTTAGTTCCAATGATTAGTTTTTTAGGGTTCAATCCTTAGCAACCTCAAATGTAAAAGAAAAAAAGATAAGGAAGAGATTCATGAAAACATAGTTCCAAAGACTAGAAGTTCTCAAGGTAAACTAAGAGTTGATGAACCTAGAATTTCATAATATATAACATATTACAGCAAGACATTTATAGTTACTACTTACTAGTTAATAGTATTGAGATTGACGGAAGGTAGTTAAATTGTGGGTGGAGAGAAAGGTAAACGGAAAGAAAGAGTAAGAAATGTAAAAGGGAGGGGGTGAAGATTTTTCTGTTTTAAAGCTGGTGAGACTCAAAGTCAAGGATGGAAGGAGCAAGCAGATACAGACGTGAAATAAAAAACAGCCCAACCCAAGCTAAGCCTGAAATCAAACTGTCCGAAAATTAACTCGTTTAGCACTTACACTTTCTTGCTATTGTTGCTGTTGTGATTTAATTTTCTATTCATGTGGGTCGGGTTTATAATATTTCTTTTCTTTACACAGTTGAATAGAGTTGTTACCGGGCCCAGAAATCCAGGAGTTATTGGTGATAGATCTGGCTCTTTTTCAAGGGAAAGTGAGTACAATTATGCCATATTTTATGCTTTCATTATTATGATTATAATATTTATTAATAAATGATACTTGAAAGAAATAAATCTTTATCCCACTTATGTGCTTGAAAATCTCCACAACCACCCTTACTCTTTCTCTAGAATAGCAGTTCCACCCCTCATAAATAGTGTTCTTATTCTTTGTTTTCTGTAGAGCTAGAATCAAGATTTGTTGATGACTCTTCTTAGTGTTAAGAAATGTATATTTGCATCACTTTCTTTCTTTTCATATTTTTCTATCCATTTTTTGTGGTTTCTTGGACACAATGTATATTGGTTAAATTAGTCATCTCATTTTCTTGCTGCACTTCTGCAATTTGCCTTGTCTCCGTGTTGGTGCTATTGATGATATTCTTTGACTATGCCCTTTGTTCAGATGACTTGGTCTCAGTTCTTTTCACATGTACATGCTGGATGTATTGTTGGCGACTTTATTCTGTATTTCCTCTTTCAAGGCAATTCATGTAACAGGATAGAGTTTCTCGTTAATGCAAGATGCTTGAATGTTAATTAGAAATTCAGTATATGTGATGTACTGATTTACAGTTAATGAATTTGTGGGATTTTATCCATTTCAATGGTGTTAAGTGGTTGATGAACTCTTTTTTTATATGGGATTGCTTATGGTTCATGTTGTGAACAATTCTTTCCAGGTTCCTCCGCTGCTGACTGGGCTCAAGACGGAGATTATGCATACTGGATCGATCAGCATATTTTTTATGCAGAAGATGCTCAAGAAGGCAAGAGATGGTCATCACAGCCACAAACTTCTGCTCTTCTTACAGATTCAAAGCCTTTGTATAGAACTTCCTCGTATCCTGAGAAGCAGCCCATGCTGCATCGCTTCTCAAGTGAACCAATTTTTGGACCAAAATCAAACTTCACGTCTTTCCCCGCTCCAGGAAGTGGATCCCAGCCACCCTTCTCTACGGCAAGTCTCTCGCCCATGTTCAATTCTGGTCTTCATCTGGCTGGTTTATCTCATGGATTGCATGGTGGTGGTAACATGTCCCAGTTAACATCTCCTGGCCTATCTTTTAGTAACAGGTCACATAATCACTGGGTTAACCACTCTGGCCTATTACATGGTGATCATGCTGGTCTTTTGCATAATATGTTGCAACAGCAAATACCTCATCACAATGGCCTAATTTCCCCACAGTTAATGTCACCACAACAACAGAGATTGCACCATTCAATTCAACCATCTATAGCTCATTTTGCATCATTGCAATCTCAACTGTATGATGCCCATCCTTCACATAAACTTATGCTTGGACAAACTGATCTTAGGGATCAACGAACTAAATCATCCCAAAGAAAACGGCAGAGCATGCGTATTTCTCAGCAAAACTCTGATGCTGGTAGTCAGAAAAGCGAGAGTGGGTTGGTGCAATTCAGAGCCAAGCATATGTCTGCTGAAGAGATAGAGAGTATCCTGAAGATGCAGCATGCTGCCACACGTAGTAATGATCCTTATGTAGATGATTATTACCACCAAGCTTGTCTTGCCAAAAGATCTTTCGGATCCAGGGGTAAACATCATTTTTTTCCATCTCACCTGAAGGACTGGCATTCTCGGTCCTGTAACAGTGGAGAGCAACATTTGCATCTACATGTTGATGCACTTGGGAGGGTACCCCTTTCTTCCATTCGAAGACCTCATCCCCTGCTTGAAGTTGATCCTCCCTTTGGTTCAGGTGATGGAGGTTCTGAACAGATAATGGAGAAGCCTCTAGAGGAGGAACCTATGCTTGCAGCTAGAATCACCATTGAAGATTGTCTCTGTCTTCTTCTTGATATAGATGATAATGACAGGCTCATACAATTCAGTCCACCCCAAGATGGTGGGTTCCAGCTCAGACAGAGGCGGCAGATCCTGCTTGAAGGTATGGCAGCGTCACTGCAGCTTGTTGATCCACTTACCAACGGTATGCCTGCAGTTAATTGTGCTCCAAAGGGTGACATTGTGTTCCTAAGATTAGTCTCTCTTGCAAAGGGTCGTAAGCTGCTCTCCAGGTTCCTTCAGCTTCTCATACCTGGAAGTGAGCTTATTCGAATAGTGTGCATGGCGATTTTCCGTCACTTGAGATTATTGTTTGGGGGTCTTTCTTCTGATCCCGAAGTAGCCGAGACAACTACTAATCTTGCGATGACTGTTTCGACATGTGTTAATGCTATGGATCTTCATGCTCTCAGCGCATGTGTTGTAGCTGTTGTTTGTTCTTCGGAGCAGCCACCACTTAGGCCCCTCGGAAGTCCTGCTGGAGATTGTGCTTCTATCATTTTAAAATCAGTTCTTGAAAGGGCAACTCAAATTTTAAGTTATCCTTCAGGAAATTGCAGCATGCCTAATTATGCTTTGTGGAGGGAGTCGTTTGATGAATTTTTCACTCTTCTTACCGAGCATTGCATGAATAAATATGAAATGATAAAGCAATCAATGCAGAACGAATCTCTGCCAACAACAGAAGGGATTGCTTCAGAGGTTATAAGGCAAGAAATGCCTTGCGAGCTTCTATTTGCTAGTCTTCCTCACACAAATGAAGCCCAAAGGATGCTTTTAGTGGACTTCTTTCAGTGTTTTGTACCCATGAATGGAACCAATTCCCATGCTGGAAGTACCAGCCAAATAAATTCGGAATCAGTGAGGGGTTAAGAAAGGATCAGGTTAGTGCTGAAAGATGTCTGAATTGCAGTTGATGGATTGTGGAATGGGAGGGCAGAAGCCAGGTGCTGTGTTTTACTAAAGGCTTGGGTCTGGTTTAGAGGGAGCAGAATTAAGTTATTATGCGTCGCATTGCACACTTTGTTCTTTGTCCATTGTCAATTTTCAGTTGTCATTGCCTCTCTCAACTCTGCCCACCCCTTTCCACCTCTCTTGTATCTTTTATCGTGCATCGTTTTACCGGTTTTAAGAAAGGTTAAAATCCAGAGAGAGAAGGAACTGAAGAATGTGAAGATGGTGAAACCTATAGTAGCTGTGGTAAGTAGTAGTAAGGTATGAACTGTGTATATTAATTATAATGGGAGTTGTGGAGAGCTTTATTTTGGTGCTCTGTTGTGAGACTCCAGTACAAGTGGAAGGGCTACAAGTTAGAATATGTACAGCTTGCAGAAGCAGTCAACCTTACTTTTGTTTTTAATTAGTGGTCAAACAAACGTGTTATTGTTGTATGAAAAATTTATGAATCCTGTAATAAATTCCAACTCCTTGGCATAGGATGTGATACAAGTTGATGTTTTTCTCACCTACTTTTATGAATTTGAAATATTTGACTGCTTTTTTTATTACTGTTGTTTATGTCTACTAAAAAAGTTACAGGAGCCAACGAAAGGAAGAGTAAAATTAGATGTAAGACTATTGAATTGCCTTGATCTCTTTTATTAGTCTAGAAATATCACATAAAAAAATTTAACCCATTGATAATAATAAATATAAATATCTTCTAGATATTTGAACTCGACATCTTTAAAAGAATAATCATGAGAAAGAATAATAATTTCACTAAAATCACTTAAAGAATAATAATTCTAATATAATCACTTGAGTTCGACATCTTTAAAAGAATAATAATCAAGGTCAAATTCCAATAAGAAAATATTGACCCGAGGAGCAGTCGCGGCCGTCGTCGCCATGGTGAAGTTTCTGAAACCCAACAAGGGCGTCATTGTCCTCCAAGGCCGATACGCCGGTTGCAAAGCGGTGAACGTGAAATCCTTCGACGAAGGCACACGTGACCGCCCCTATGGCTATTGTTTGGTTGCCGGGATAAAGAAGTATCCCGGCAAGGTTATCCGCAAGGATTCCGCCAAGAAAACAGCCAAGAAGTCACGCGTTAAGTGCTTCGTCAAGCTCGTCAATTACCAGCATCTGATGTCCCCGCGCTACACCCTCGACGTGGACTTGAAAAACGCGGTTTCCGTCGACGGTCTTCAGACCGAGGACAAGAAAGTCGCCGCTTGCAAGGCAACCAAGGAGAGGTTCAAGACCGGAAGGAACAGGTGGTTTTTCACTAAACTTAGATTTCATGCTAAACTACATAAGTAAGGTTTGGGTCTCTATGACCACTGAATTATTTAAACGGTTTAAATATAATTAATATTTACATGATAGTTAATAAAATTAGTATAATTAGGATGTGAGTTCTTGTAAAGTTATATTTCGTAGCGTTGGCATCCTTTTTGTTTTCTTTCATTTTGATCACTACTTGTATATAATTTATTTTCTTGAGTTTTCATTTAATGTAATTTGATCTTGATTTTGTTTTTAATTTGTTTAATAATTTAATTTGAGCATTAACTTTAAAATATTTTACTCTAATCATGTATGAAATTTATACAAATTTTATTAACTGTCACATAAACACTTCCGTTAAATGTTAACAACAGGTGGCTATATTGAAATCATTTAAATAGTTTACTAGTTAAATTGACGTAAATTTGAAAATAGTGGTCATTTTGCAACCCGACCTTTAGTTACGTGGTCATTTATGTAGTTTACCCTAGATTTTAAGGGTCCCTTTGGTATTATGTTTTCGTTTTTGAAAAAGAAAAAGCTTGATGTTCAACCTAGTACTTGGAACATTTTGCATTTTAAGGAGGGATTTGAATCCGTTTCTATGATATGTTTCTGAGCTGTTTCTTATACGATGCAATGTTATTTACCCATTTCTCTTAGAAGGTTGTGATTGCTTTAGATTGATTGATGGAAGAAGATAATTGAATCTTTGTATGACAACATTTTTCAATTTTCGTATTATCATTACAGCAGTTAGGTATTAGTTGAACCATAAACCAATAGATCCGTTCTGACAAACGAGCAAGGGAAGGAATGAATAAACAAGAAAACTTAGGTCGTAAGGCTTTCCTAGAATAATACCGACGATCAAAGCCCTCCCAGGATGAACGGGCTTCCAATTTTATCTTGTTTTTCCTCTTTGATGGTGCTGTAAAGTTAATCCATCATCCCTGGATTTCTCCTCTACTCGCACTATTATGATGAGCTGATGTTTTATTCTTCAAAATTTATCTTACCATGATCAAGGTTTAGTCGCTTTATTCGCAAAAATCAAGAAACCAAGTTTGACAGAAAGCAGTTGCTTTATTAAGGCACCAAATATATTTACAGATATGTCATGAGTATGAACTCTACACATATCAGGAGAGTCCACCTCTATTTGCTTACCCACTTAATAGAGGTAGCTTTCGGCTCACAAGAAGCAGCAGTACCATTTTCACCATCATCAACAAAGTCTCTTCACTGTTTCTTCTGCTGGTACTAGAGTCCCTTCACCCTCTCCTCCGCCGCCTTCAACGCTTTGCCATATTTGCTTATCAACTGCGGGTAGTAATGGGTCCAGGATATTATTATTTGTTCTATTACAACCCTGCTTAACTACAGCTAGAACTGCTATTTCCATATGTCAACCAAGAGAAACAGATGAATAACATCGGTTATTATCATTGTTTTGCGGTTTCGGCTCCCAACACCATCAATACTTACTACAATTATGATGATGGTTTTTTTTCTCAAAGAGAAATAGAAAGTGGAACTTACCCCATTCAGGAGGGAACGGATCATTAGGTGAATTGTTGTCTGTAAACTCGGTACCATGAATCAAGCCAGTATCTCTGATGTGCAGAATCAGTGAAGGATAACAATTTCATGTCTCGACGCTCACTAAATATTGACCGAATAAAATGGATACCTCAATCAAGCCAGTACCTCTGATCTGCAGAATCAGTGAAGGATAACAATTTCATGTCTCGACGCTCACTAAATATTGACTGAATAAAATGGATACCTCAATCAGGCCAGTACCTCTGATCTGCAGAATCAGTGAAGGATAACAATTTCATGTCTCGACGCTCACTAAATATTGACCGAATAAAATGGATACCTCAATCAAGCCAGTACCTCTGATCTGCAGAATCAGTGAAGGATAACAATTTCATGTCTCGATGCTCACTAAATATTGACCGAATAAAATGGATACCTCAATTGCAGAACTTACCTCTCCAACAATAGGACTGTCAGAAAGGATTTTAGACCATCTTGAACCGTAGGTGAAATGCTCTTCACTTTCTCAACAATGTTGGAGAATCCTGCTCCCATCACAGGCTCAGCGATGAATGCAGCAATCTAAGATGAACAAACTTGCTAGGTCAGCTATACAAACCCCTTCAAGTTGCAAAAGGATTCCCATTTCATGTTTAAAACATATCAGCTGACATTACCGTTTCTGGACCCTCTTTCAGGATAAGATTCTCTAAATTGTTGGCTAATCTAGTTGAGAACTCTTCCGTCTCACCTGAGACATGAATAAAGATGCCTGTTATTTGAACGCTCAAAAGTATATCTCAGAAAAGACTGGTAAAATTGAAAACCTTCGTGATGATAGCGCCAATAATGAGGGTAGTCGGTGTGCAACACGAATGGAGCTGGAAGGTTAAACTTTTGATGTAAAGCAGGAAGTCTGTAATGGCAATCTAACTGTTACAAACTCGATTTCAAGAAACCAAGCATAAACATTTTGACAAAAAAAAAAGTAAACTTACCAGAAAGACTAGCTGATATCAAAGTTGAACCTTGGTATCTGGAGATATTTAGAGAATAGAAGGGAGGTAAGTACTCAAGAAATAGCACAAAGAGAAGCAAAGAAGAACAATATTGATTGAGTAGTTGAATTTTATGATTTTGCTCGAGCGATAAATTTCTTCTTATTTGGTCTTCCAAGTGCATTATTATAATACCAAACGAGCTTCACCTACATATAAATAATGAAGAAAGTCAAACATCGGCAAGGACCAACTTCACCCCCTTTTCAGTTTACACCTACCATCAAGATATGTCCATTGCATATATGAATGCTTGAAAAGACAATTTAAAATACTAATAATATACTATAAAAAACCTGAGTATCATTTGCTTCGGATCCACTGTTTGTAAAGAAGACCTTTGCCATTTTTCTTGCAGTAAAAGTTTCAAGAAGATCCTGTAAGATCAATATTTCTCTCTTTAAATTTGTTTGTAATGAACAGCTCAAAGGCAATATGAACAATATATATTATGCAGAACACAACATAACTTAATGAGAGAATGATTCTAAGGGAAAAATTTGCATTGGATGGATGAAACCATGGGGTTATGAACTCTGATGAATACCAGTGAAGGTTTTGTTGTACGATTCCAAAACGAATGGTAAAATGGCAATTTATTCAATTGAGCAGTGGCAGCTTCCACAAGTCGAGGCTCATTTCCTCCTACAAAATTTAGCAAACATAAGGGACTGAAATTCTTCTGCCATAAAATCACAGCGTTTAGGCCCATTTTTTCTGTTGATTAAAAATGCTTGGGTAAACAGGAAGATGCAGTGAACATTTAGAAAAGGCATAACTCCAATTTAACACTAATCCTAGAATGGGAACACCGTTAAGAAGTTAAAAGCTCTAACTCAATTTGTGTGGTGCATTTATGTTTCCACATGCAAGAATAATAAAGAATGATTGATCCAGATACAACACATTCTAGAAGGGGCAAACAACAAATATTTAACATGCTAGCATATATGATATACTACATCCCTGAATGGTCATCACAGATTGTAGTATAGACCAAGTGCAACAACAGAGACATCATCAATGGTAGAGAATATTGAACGAGGAAGAGAACGCAAAGAAACAACAGAGGAAGAGAGCTGAGAGATTGTTTTAAAATAACAAGACATCATCAATACCTAATGCCGTACACCATAAACCAACAAGAGCATCTAGATACTTTTTCCCATTGGCATCATAATCATAGTTTCCCTGTGCAAGATCAGTTTTACGTTGGTATCAGAGCAGAAACGAAGAGTAGCTTTAAAAGAAAAGATGAAAGAGCATGTCTTGAGGTATGTTCATTCACCTAAGCAATTTGGATTCAGTAAAAGAAAAGAAATATATCTTACACTCATACCTCAGACCTTTCAATAACCAGGGGATCACGACAGTGGTCTATCACCTTGCTGTAAATGGAGCCAGCATATAATGTCCCTTAAACCTGAGATAAAGGAGATACATTAATACATACCCCATGTGCATCTTCAAATATAAATTGTCAGACACTAAATGAATTTATTTGAAAGAATAATAATCAAGTTATATCTCCAGATTTCATTTCTATATGCATAAACAAAGGTATCCACAATATGAGTAACAACACAAACAAGGGAGGTACACTACTATATGAGATGAGACGAACATGAACATAGGTTTGAATATTGAGTTACCGATACATAAAATATACATACCCTTTACCATCCTTAAAATCTGAATCTTCTTTCTGCAAAGATGGCTCAGTACTATATAATCTTGCTAGCAATGGACCCTTAAGTGGGTGGTCCATAGAACTTCTGTATGCAACAGCATTTTTTTATGTAGGAACCAAGCTGTAAATGGGAAGGGGAAATAAAATAAATACAATGTTTGAGAATCAATACAAAAAACAAAAGGAAGACGAAAATCAAGTGGGCGTTTCTCCACTAAATTTGATATGATCATATCTTAAATGAACCAAATCAAATGCTGCTGCTTAAACCGGTTCCTCCAGGGAGAACAACATTCTCCTTTACCACTGGCGCCACTCAATGAGTAGGTAACGTGATCATTCAGATGTCATAGAAAGGGGTTTCACATTAATGGATTATAAACAAGACATGGCTATGTTATCCAGAAATAACTCTTGCGAAGGTCAGTATTTTCTCAGAAGCCAAGCAGAACCTCAAATTACAGCCAATGAAGTTGAATCTAGAAAATGAGGTAGTAGATTCAGTACAGCAAAACATTTATCAGTACTGAAGATTCCAGTCCATAATTTCCTGAGCATCTCCGATCATATTCCCTTTTAACATTTTTTACTAACAGATACTAAAAGTGGATCCAGGAAAAACAAGAAAGTTAATTTAATTTTAAATTCAAAATGTTTAAATGATGAGATCCATTAACTCTTGTCAGCAAAAAGTGATACATAAAGCCCGGAAACAGTGCAAAAAGTCCAACAAATCATGACAACAACAGTCGGAAAGAAAACACTAACAATTAAGCTTCTTCCTTTACTAACATTCTCAGTTCAACATGATGATCTACAAGTTTTTGTTTAAATCAGAAGAAACGAAAAAAGGGGTTATCTTGTCATCATCCGAACATGGAAGAGAAAACATGAAGGGTGGCTTCAACAAAACAAAAGGTCGATCAAACAGTAGACCAAAAAGAAAAAGAAACATCTGGCTATTGCAAAATTAGAACCTGGGTTTTGAGAGCTGATCGAAGGAGGCTGTTGGGCACCATTTTTCGTTTCCTCTTATTATCTAAAACAAAGACATGAGCATGCAGAGAAGCAAAAGACCAATGAGCGCGCTGGAGAGGAGAGAGTGATGTGAGTGTGAAATGAAGCACTTTAATTTATGGTCTGTTTTGTCCTTGTATGAACCAATAAATAGATGCGGACACATTTGAATGCAGGCCACCACCATCAACACCCTGTCATATTAACATTAAGTTTCCTTTTTCTCTTTTTCATTGAAAAAGAGAGATCTAAATGGAAGATGAGGTGGAGAAACTTGATGATATGGTAGTTAATATGGGCATTACAAATGGTAGGTTGGCTGTCTAGATATATCTCCATACATTTTCTCATGCACGAGGTCTTCCTGTTTCAGGAATTCTGAGCTCCAATCCTCTGTAACTGGCTGAGATACTATGTCTGTCTTCTCATCATCCACTTGGTCAAGAGCTGGTGGATCCTACTGTGGAAGCCTGACACATGAGAAATTAATGGCATGTGAACCAATAAAGCTATGGCACGTTATTACACCCAGCATCCAGGCTGATATGGGTGGATCAACACATTGCAAAGCTTCATACAAGCTTATTATTAACTGTGGTGCGAGTTTGGGTATAAATATGTTTAATTTTCTAAGTTTTCCACGTGTTTAGAAGATCCTCGTAGGGTATATCCTTGTACCCATATCTGCATTTGCATTGGACACAAATTGAAAGTATTTCAAGGGGGGAAAAAGAGTTGGAGCAACATAGCATACAATAATTCATATGTCTGACTCTTCATTTTTTTATGAAGTATCCATGTTCAATACCCATATATGAAGGACAATGTCAAGTCCCTTCAAATACGTAAAATATCTTTAAAATTTTCAAATTTGAACAAATGCATATGTATAACTACTTTGGTAAGTCATTCTTACCCAAATGGAAAGGAGAAAGGAAAGGATGTAAGAGAAATCACAGTCCACATGAAAATCAATACTTGGTTCTGGTGTTGCAAAGACCTAAGCACAAAGCATTTGAAAGCACGCCATACAAAATATTCAGCATGTCAGTGCAGTAACAGATAAGAGATGGGTAAACTTGAAACCATTGATTGGTGTATGCAGAATGTCAACAGAATGAAAATATTACTCCAAATTTTCAGCTACAACTGAGAAGTTCATCGGAACCATCAATGATGCACCACCTCCCATTGAAATTTCTTGGACAAGAGCAACCTTTCAAACAAGACACATTGATTAGACGGCTAGATTTACAGTGATGCAGATCTCACATTCCATGAAAATCCCTGTGCCATGGTATGAAAATACATTCAACGTCCTTGATCTTGTATAAGCTGACCTTGCTCATCTTTTCCCCATTTTTTCAATATTCGAATTTGCACACCCCTAGTTCAAAGTGATGATTCTTACGTGGTCTAATTCCTCTCCAACGACGACCTTAATCGATTAAATAATTCATTATTTCTGGTCTAGTACAATACGAAAAAAACATAACAAGTATCCTTAAATTTTGAAATTAAAACATCGTTCGATTATAAGATAGTAACATATATCATCATTTTATTGGTCTGAATAAAATTAGGGTTAACTACAGGTTCATCACTTGTCTTTATATTTTGTCCACTTTTACTCACTTATTTCATAAAACAAAATATGGTCATTTCATTTATATTTAATTAAGAAATGACACTTTTGTTGTTATTTAATTAAGACGTGGTCATTACAAGTTAATTGCCGTTAACAATTAACATATTAGGCGACGTGATATTTTGATATAATCATACATTTGGTCTCTGTTGTTTATATTTTCTCTCAATTTAATCTTACTTTTTAACAAATTAAACTAAATTTAATCCTTCAATCGAATGATACAATGTGCCACTGGTGCCACGTATCACCATTCGGTTGGAGGACTAACTTTATTTTAATTTAAATATTTATTTTCCACCAATACTTTGAAAAGTTAGTTCTCCAATCGAATGGTGACACATGGTATAAGTGACATGAGGTATCCGTGACACATGACATCTTTTTTTTGGATGAGTAATTTTGTTTTAATTTATTAAAAGTATGACTAAATTGAGAGAATATATAAATAATAGAGACCAAATGTGTGATTATATCAAAATATTTAACGACAATTAACTCATTGTGACCACATCTTAATTGATCATATATTATGTTTTTTTTAAATTAGTGAGAAAAA